AGTCAAACACAAAGTAGCAATTTAAAACAATGAACTTTGCAATGATTTAGAACAATGAGTTTTGATTTAGTATCACATGTATGTAACGTCCCAAATTTTAAGACCCAAAAATTTCATTTTTCAATTAAATTTTAAGACCCAAAAATTTCATTTTTCAATTAATAAAAACATTATCCCAAAACATCATCATAAATCCCAAGTGGAACAAATGTATCAAAACATCATAAAATATCAGAGTCATCATGAAATGCAGAACAATATCGTATGTGCACTGCAATCGCCCCGAGCTCTTCCCTTTTGCACCAGAAGTACCTAAAACATAAACTGAAAACCGTAAGCACGGAGCTTAGTGAGTTTCTCCCAAATACCACATACCACACATTTCAAACATATAATGGGCCCCGAGTGATGAATGTAACGGGCCCCACCCACTGAGTATAACGGGCCTCGCCCTAACTCGCATAATGGGCCCCGCCCACTGAGTATAACGGGCCTCGCCCTAACTCTCACAACGGGCCCCGCCCAACATACAAACATACAAGGATAACAACCAATAGCATACATATTACCCATTGGGCCCCGCCCACTAAGCATACAAACACATACACATGCAAGAGTCACGCAGACATCTAGCACCCTAACATAATAAACCATGGGTCGGCATTGGTGCCTTCGACCCGCTAACCATGGTGAGAAAGGCTTACCTCATACTGTTGAATCTTACAGATCAATCTCTACCTGCCGGTGAGAAAGTCTCACCTCAGACATCTAGCACCCTAACATAATAAACCTTGGGTCGGCATTGGTGCCCAACGTACTCCCAAGTTGGCCACCCAACATCAATAAGCACTTAATCCATTCAGCCCCTACTTCATACACTTAGATCTTGTCCTAAAAGATGATTTATCACGTAAAGTTGCCAAGTTTACGTGCATGCATGTCTTATTGGGGCTCTAGACCTCAAAAGAGCATAACAAAGGGGTCTTAACACATGCATGAGTTCATATACACCATGAAGTTTGCATTTTTATGCTTAAGGGACCCCTAAAATGTCCATATCTAAAAGGTTAAGCTTCTAAAACGGCCTTAGCTCAGAAGGACCGACCAAAAGGGACCAAAATAGTCGTAAACAAGCCCAAGATAAGATCTATACAAGGAGTTGACAAGTTATGGACTTTATACCTCAAAAGTCACAAAATGAAGAAGCTAAATCTGGATCTCTAAGCTCTTTTCCAAAGAATGAGTCTTTAATCTTCTTCTACCACTTCAAGATACACAAAAACACACCAAAATGCTTCACAAGATCTCAAGAACACCAAAACAAAGGCTAAGGGCGAGCTTATGGTTTTCAAGATATGGAGGCTGGTCTAAAATGGTCAGGGCCCATCGTAGACATGCCTAGTCTAAGGGCGAGGGTATTCCATCCCAAGGATGACTGGGCCCATCCTGTACATGCCTGGTATTCCAGCCCAAGGCTGATTGGGCCAGGCATGAGTATTTGTGCATGTGATTTGTTTGTTATGTGTATGCGGAGGTACTTTGGGAGAACTCACTAAGCTTTGTGTTTATAGTTTCAGTTTATTGTTTCAGGTGCTTCAGATGGTTGTGGCAAGGCAAAGGCATGACCGTACACATGCTTGGTTTTACAACTAATTGGATCTTGGGAGACTCATTTTAAATTATGTTTTGGAAACAATGGTTTTGAAAACACTATTATTAGTAAATGAGTTGTTTTGAAAGGTTTAAATTTGTTGAAATTTTTGGGATGTAACACATAATTTTTCCAACTTTATGACTTTGTATGTCCATTAAGTGCTTAATACCAACAATCCTCACTTCTTAATCCCTAAGACAATCTAGAGCATGCATGAAGAAGAACTAAGCATCAAGATCTCATTTTTATGACTGAAGACCCCTCAATGAGTCTGAAAGGACGACTTATTTGGTTAAGAGCATGTCATGCTCAAGAATCACCAAGGTTGGAACCAAAAAATGCCCTAAATGAAGGAATAACTAAATCTATAAGGGAAGATGATAGAGTACGAGCTTTTTACCTCCTGAAGGTTGCTAGCAAGGTGAGAATCCCATATCCAAACTTTTTCCAAGCTCCAAAGTCCTTCTTCCACCTTCTTCTTCTTCAAGAACACTAAAACACAAAAATGAGCTCAAGGTGCACTCTCCACGATTAAGGTTAGCTAGAGGGACGATTTTTAGGTGGAGGCTGATGAGGTTGAAGGTCTTGGGGCCATGAAGAGGATTATATAGGGTGCAAACCCTCAAAATTAGGGTTTTGGTCAGAACAATGTACGCACCACGTACATGATGAGTACACCCAACGTACGCGTGCAAACCCGTGTTCCTCATTCATGAGTACGCCATGCGTACACCCCAAGTACGCATAGCGTACGGACCAGGAATGCAAACCTAAAGAGTTAAGGGTTAGAAATGAACCTTCTCGGAACGGGTGTTACAGATCTACTCCTTACTCAAGTTTCTGGTGAAGACTAAGCAAAATTTCATGGATTTCATCTTCCTTAATTATTTTTATTCAGATTTTATGAAATATCAAAAGTCTTTTTATAGTCATAGACAAAATAAAGTCAATTTTATTTTGTTTTATTAATCATTTCTTGATTTGTTTCATTATTGTTAATGTATTTATCATTATCAATATTTTTTTGTTGATTCGATAAAAAGTTGTAGATGGATTTTACGCATATTAATGATACATAGAAAGATCTTTATGTCTATTTTTTTAATGAAAAATTTAACTAATAAGGGCCTTCGTGACACAATTAATAATTCGTTTCATTTTCAATTAGGCCTTGTTCTAGCTTCTTTAGCATATGAATTTGTACATCAACCTCAATATGGAACACCCCCACTGATTCTACAACTAGTTGAATCATATCAGAAAAACAATCAAAGAGTGTATAAGGAAGATTTAAAGAAAGTTGCAATTTTAATTTTGGCTAAGTTTGGTTGTGAATTTGGAAATTGTCAAACTTCAAAAATACTATTTTGCCTTTTAAATAATTCTATTGCATCTTGAAATATTTTATTAATTTTGTATTTAATAAAAAATTTGAAGAGCCCACATCCACCCCCACCCCGACTTTCCTTTTCCAGACTTTGCCCTTTCCCTTCCCCTCTCTCCCCTTCTCCTCCATCCCTTTGTTTCTTCGGCAACCAACTCTTTTTGTATAAAATTAATCAAACTCAACCTTACTTAACTTTAAATTTCAAGTAATCAAAATATTACTTCAATCTCTCTAGTCCAGGCTTCTTGCTTCTTGATTATCTGAGTTTTCAATTCAACAAGATTTGATCCATAAATGTTGTGGTTGTTGCAGTTCTCAACACAAAAAAACTAAAGTCCCTAATTTGACAAACTAAATTAGGGTATTGCTCCATCTACAAAATCCCATCTTCTAGAAGAGGTTCAATCCATTCAAACCGTAGTCCCCAAATATTTAAAATTCCAACATAGGGTTGTTCACTATTCGGATAAAACCGAATTGACCAATTAGACAATTTGAATTGGACTATTTGGTTCGGATATTTGGATTTTTTGGATGAGTTTCCAGTAAAACCGAATTATTATTTTGGATTTCGGATTGGTTACGGTTTATAAAATTAAAACCGAATAGTCCAAAAAAAACCGAATAAGATATTATTATTTATTTATTTATATATATTTGTTTCAAATATACATCTTTTAGTTATTTATTAATTTGCTAAATTGTATTTTTAAATAGATTAGAAAGTATTATCCAATAAAATACTTCAATAAATATTTGTCAATAGCTTTTATCTATAAAATATTGAATTATAATAATTTTTTTAATAGTTAATTTTAATTCTCACCAAACAATTTATTTTAAAGTTGATTAATATTATGTTATATATATTTTTAAATGTCATGTTTCTTGAAAATCGAATTGTAAAAACCGATCCAACCGAATTGTAATTTGATTGGTTTGGATCGGATTTGAATTTTATTTGAACTATTCGGATTCATGTTTTGAAAACCGAAATTAATTTGTATTCACCTGATTGGATTGGATCAAACCGATCCATCCAAACGAACACCCTTATTCCAACCCACCAATATACAAACCCTAACCTCAATCTTGATCACACGAAATCCTTTAATTTTTAAAACGAGAAACCTCCTCACATATGGGCATATTAACAAGCGCCTAATTGCAATTACCTTTCGGTATTTTCATTCACAATTGGGAAGTAAAACGCCATCGGAGATATTTTTGCTACTAATCAAGTCTAACAAAAAAACAGAAATTGCATCTCTTCCAAAACTGAAATTCAGAAAACCAAAAGCGTTGGCTTTCACAATCTTCCAACTCCTTTGATCATTGGAACCCAATCTAATAACAATAGCATTTCTACCAAAATTGAGATTCAGAAAACCAAAAATGTGGGACCTTTTTGTTTAAAATAATAAATAAAGATAATCGAAAATCAATTATATTAAGGGTGATAAAGTCCTCTTAAATTTGATGTGGATCAAATCCAACAAGTAGGTTTAAAATGACCAAACCTACAACTTCAAAACTTTTTGGACAGTACCCAAAAAAATCAGTAAACCAAAAGGACCACTTTTGCAATTTTGTCTAAAATTTATCATGCAAACAAACTAAATAAACGGAGCAAACCTTGAAATACGAAATCAAGAAACTATAAACAAAAAACCTAGGTATTAAATTTGTTCATTCAAGGCAAAACACTCGTTCATGTTAAAACTATTGGTCCTCTTGATAGAGTATATAAGGTGTGTATTTCTTCCATATTTTCAAACGACATGCTTGAAAAAATTTGTCAATCACAAGTTCACACTTTCTCAATCATATCAACTTATCCATACAGAAAATGAATATAATATATATTGCTTGGGTGTTCTAAGAGGCAAAATCATCAATATGCAGAAAGGGGGGCAAGTGTAAATTGCAACTAAGAACATCCATGAAAAGAAGTCAACAGGAGCAAAGTGAGAATCATGTTTGAGTAAAAAATTCAGAACTAAAAGGTATACAAAAATGACAATTCAATTAAAATATGAAACAATCGAAATGATTATTGTTACTGATTCACAAAATGAAAAGAAAAAAAAAAGTAACTTTGAAATGAGGCAAAAATTGTACAGATGATGCAAGCTACAACAAGTCAACAACCTGAAAGAAGTCAGACACAACAAAAGAGCATCCAGGAAGTAATCATAGCTCGGCTGGTGTTTTTATTCAAAATATACTTTTTGATTTCATTATCCAAAAACAAAAGTTGCACAAAAACCTCCTATTCCTTTTCCTTTTAGATTTCATTCTAGGCTCAACCTTCACCATAAATGCCTGAGAAAAGGTAAATGCATATAATTTAGGTATCATTTCTTTTTTACTAAATGGAATTAAAAGAGACATGACTTAATCTGGTAAGCTATATATAGGTGTTTTTCTTTTTTTCCCTCATTTATTTTTCCTTTCCACTTTCAGAAAGCTTAAACAAGGAGAAAAGATGCTAACCTTTTGCATAATTCATTGAGGTTCCGATATCCGTTGTAGAATATGAACCACATCAAGACAATTACCAAAGCATCTATCACAAGTTAAGTAGTCAAAAGACTCGGAAATATCCCTAAAAGCTTGAAAAAGACGTGAATGCCCTATGCATCTTTATCATCGAAAATATCCCTAAAAGCTTGTCCAATCACATCCACTCGTGTCTTAAGAAACAAACACAAAATAACAAATTGAATCATGGATGAAAAAGGATACTGAACAAATAGCGCTCCCATGGATCCAACATGTATAGTCCAAAAGTGACATTGTAAAGGAAGATTTTGCGTTGAGCCCAGTTCATAGACATAATATCAAACCTAAGAGTACAAAAAAAGCACATAGTTAGAACTTAGAATCTATGAAAATTGTAAAAGAACATTATAACTATTTACATGTGATGTTATCAAGATTAAAAACACAAGCACACAGAAATATTCTGCCAGTCAATGCTGATTTCAAACATATATTCCTTAGTACTATGATAAAGCTAGATGATAGAAGAAAGGGAACCCCATGCTGTTTAATATATTATTAAGTATTAGCAATCCTTATGGCAAAATGAAACAGACATGTTAACATTAGTTCATTACCAAGAAGAGCTATAGATGTTACAGCTCAAGTGAAGGTAGAAGAGAGTGAACCTTTATATCACCTCACACAAACAGCAGAAGTCCAGCTTTACATTTATTGGAAATCAAATTCATTAAAAGTTTTATTGCAAGTTTTACAATTGTTTGTTATTTCATTACAATTTCCACGATCATGTATGGTAAACAGTAATTCGAAAGGATGAGCAGCCACCAAAGAGGGAATCCCCCTCCTTGATAGAATTAAAGCACCACCATGAGATCGAGTTTCCTTGGTGCAAAATCACAAACAAAAGGTTAATCTAATTCCAAAAATCAAGTTAAACAATGTTCATAATCATGAAATTGAAGATCCAAATACTCGAATCAAGAGAAACAAGTTATAAGCCTCCAGATCCACATCCAAATTCCTAGATCCATTTACAATAGCCTCAGGAGGTGATATAATCAAACAACAGATTATAGCAGTGGTCTACGAATTTCAAAATGACTGAAATCCCGTCAGCACATATGTGTGGGAAACCCCAGGATTTAGCACAAAACCCATGAGAGATAGAAGCGAACCTGTAATGGAAACCCTTTCGCTTCTGTTGAGAAATCGGGCAGCGAAAGGTTAGGGACTGAGGATTTGGGATGCTCCAATTTCATATATGAGAGACAGCATAAAAAGCACAAGAAATGGCAATCGAGAGATTTGAGCACATGAGTCCATGTACATTGTTCCTTAATAATTAAATTCCTTTAGTTGTCACAACTCACCCTTTAAGTTTCTTAAACTTCACATTTGCAAAATGAAAATTGCATTCAAAGTACTTTCAAGTTTCAACTGATTTTTATTTTAAGTAACTTATTCTAAAAATCCTACATTTAAATGTCTTATTCAACACAACTAAATAAAATACATGATTACCTAGGATTAATGCCTACTGTTTTTCCATATTTTTTTGTTGAAAGACAATTGATATATAACCTGGGTTGTATTTTATGGGTCTTATAAATCAACTCGATTTTATTGATTTTAAATAAAAATGTTTAACCAAACTCATTTACATATATTATGGATCAGTCATTAGTTAATACTAGGTATTTTTTCAAAGTAGGGGTTTTGAGTAAAAAGATACCTAAATGAGACAAGAGACAATGTTATTTTTGAGTAAAACCGGATGATTTGGACAACTGTTGCCAACATTACACCAGGTAGGATGCCAGCTCAGCCGGTTTGCAAGTTGAATGGGATAAAATTGGATAAAAAATGACTAAACTAAAACAAAATTGAAACTTTAATTTTCTTTTTTTCTGTTCCAATTGACTGACCCTAAGAGCTGTAACAGTTCAATTCACTAGACACATAATCATCATTTTGTAAACAGAAAACTGGTGGATGGCTACTTAACTACACAAACCTGTCTGATACTTCAGAGTTCAGAGATTCAACTCTCCCGTTCTTTTAAAAAGAGTTGCAGACAATTAGAATGATGGCTTTCTTCTTATAATAATAAGAGTTCCTTTTCACCAAACATACCATAGAACTGATGAGATACAATAAGAATTTTAACAGAAGTAAATGGTAAACCCCATTATCTGGTGCTTAGTTCTTTGTATTCAACAATTATTATGGTTTGTGTGATTATCAAACTTTACAAAGACTTACAAGCGACTCTTATTCACAAATCGAGCAAGATTAATTGCTAAACCACGTAAACACTGTGTTTAAGTCTTCGTTTTCTAGTATTTACAGAATGTGTAATTCTCAATCGTAAATTATTCACAAATTAGCAACACCAAATGCTAGATCCATTGCATCATAAGGACTAAATCTAATTTATATATTTGACGCGCCACAAATTAACATATATCAACACAGAAGACACAAAATTTTACCAAAATTAGGGCAAATATTCAAACCTTTCACGACGTTGTTCAGGAGTCAACCCATCGTCTTTGTTCTTCCCTTTGGCGCCACCACGAGCATTAGCTCTTTCGCGATCCTTCTCCCTCTGGTTACCTCGTTCGATCTTCCATTAAGAAAAACATATACACAAACGAAATCCATGTGTAGATATTTGATGAAAAATATATAGAAAGTAGTAGATAGATAGCTTCAGATCTAGTACGAAAAGCAACAAACTATGTAAAACTGCAAAAGGATATGAGTCATCGTCGGAGAAGAAATCTAAGATCTGGTTTGCGTGAAGATGAAGTTGAGCAGGTGAATAATGAGCTCTGAACTGAAGTAAATACTCCATCCCAAAGGAAAATATCGAAATTAGAATGACTTTTTCCCAAGACCAAAAAAAATTATTAAATAAAAGGAAATTGACTTATTAATGTAATTATCTTTTTATTTTGTTCAGACTAATTTTTTTTTTTAAATATTTAGGTAATGAATTTTTTGGAAACGTTCGCATTTGGCTATTATATCGGTTGTGGCAAGTCATATCTGATCATAATAGTCATATGTGAACACTTTAATTAAGTTTGTTATCCAGATGCATATAAAAAAAAGTTATCAAAATATGAACAAAACGAAAAGGTTATTACCTTGACAGAGAAAAAACACATCGTCATTTTATAAAGTTTTATTGTTTAAGATATTGAATATAAAAATTAAAATTTATTAGATACTAAAAGTATCAGAGATAGAGACCAATAAAATGAAGAAGAACGTCATTCTCAATGGAGTTTGCTCCTTGAATTATAGGAATTTAAAATACAAAAAATAGAAGTAGTTTTATCTCTCTCTCTCTCTCTCTCTCTCTCTCTCTCTCTCTCTCTCTCTATATATATATATATTATATATATATATATATATATATATATATATATGATGTGTGCTCGCGCAAAGCAGCGGCGATAAATAGTTTTTTTGACGAATAGTTTTCTTATGGAAAAATAATTATTAGATTTTGTTATTAGTTATTATGTAAAAAGAAAAATTACAACTTTTAATTAAAATATTTATGTTTAGAAATTAAATTTATATTGTATGTTTATACATTTAATGCAGATTAATTATTATATGTATCTAGTTTAAGAAATGTAAGTTAACTTATATTGATGAATTTAATATTTTAAAATTGTTATTTTATTCTAATTTAATTTTTTTAATAACCTTCATTAATCCAAGTCTTCAAAATTTTGGTATGTATAAATGGTTTTGTTATACATAATTGATTTGTACAAAAAACTTTGTATCTTGTACCTCTTAAAATTCAAGATATGACCAATATGTTTTATATATAATATAAGATATAAGACTAAGATAATTATAGTGGTTTCTTAAAGCTAAAGCAGATTAGTATGGGTTGGATTCGGTTTTATACCAACCAATATTCATCCTTACCAAAATGTATTTCTAAGCGGTCACAAAACTTTCATTCTTTTTTCATAATGTCCCATTTGATTTTAAGTTGTTTTTTATCAAAGACTTTGTCTGTTTTTCCCGGCATGTTCTTCTCTAAATTCGTCGATCCAACCTTATTAAAATATGACTACAAGGTCTATATTCCCTTTTTTTAGTTTACACGCATCGATAAAGGCCATTAAGGTATCATTATCTAATAAGATTTTTGGTTTATTCTTTTTCTTATATTTTTCATAATCAACAACATTACGGGGATTTGTGTCTCTTGTCTGAAAATTTACGTTTAGAAAATAAAGATTGCAAACAAAAAAAATCAAATTGCTCGTTGATTATAGGAAAATATCTCAAAACCTATCGATTACAATCTGTGTTTCTTAACCCTTAACTCGATTAAGACATTGTATTTATAGAATCTAATAATCGAATTGCATTAGATTACAATTAGGAAAGATTTGACCGACTTGCCATAATCCAATTGCTTGTTCTCCAAGTGTTTGGTATCCACGACTTAGGATTCCAACAATCACTCCCGAATCTCTAAGTCCTTCTAGAGACTTCTTCGATCCCGATCAAGCTCCGCATTTCCTTGAACTTGGTTCGAGCTAGTGGTTTTGTAAGAATATCCGCCTTTTATTCTTCACCGGGAATGTATTCCACCTCCACTTGTTCGTTTTCAACACAATTACAAATGAAGTGAAACCTTGTGTTGATGTGTTTACTCCTTCCATGAAAAATGAGATTCTTCGTTAGTTTGATAGCCGACTTGTGTTGATGTGTTAGAACCACCTTCTCTCGCGGTTTGTTCATGATTTCTCCTAGCAAATCTTGAAGTCGTATTGCTTGACATGCAGCCGCGGTGGCCGCCATAAACTCTGTATCGCAAGATGATAAAGCAACGGTATCTTGTTTTTACGAACACCATGTTATCGGGTATGACCCATAGTAGAAAATATGACCGGTTGTACTTTTTCCGTCATTCGGGTCAACATTGTGACTAATATCACTATATCCAATGAGTTGATTTTGTCCCATCCTCTCGTACTTGATTCTGTATCACGTTGTTCCTCGTAAGTACCTTAGTAGGGCTGGCAATCCCAACCCAAACCCGCCAACCCAACCTGAAACCAACCCAATTAAAAGCAGGTTGGGTTAAGATTTTTAACCCGTTTAAATAAACGGGTCAACCTGTTTAACCTGTTTAATTAAATGGGTTGAATTAGGGTTGGAATTCTTAACCCGTTTACAACCCGCCAACCCGTTTAAATTTTTTAATATATATTAATTTACTATTATTATTTTAATTGATTATTAAATGTCTAACGGTTTATTTGTTAATTATTTTATTTATCCAAGATTTTTTTGGCTATTTAGTATTACCAGGTGACTTTTCATCTTCGCACGTATCATATTCCTCTGTAAACCGATATGTAAGCACAATACACGTAGACAACAACTTTTCTAGTTTCCTTCATTTTCGTTTCCTTCTCAATTCTCAAATCTCATGATAAACACTCGATTTTTCTAACCCTAATTTTTTACCCTCCTTTACTTGAAATCGCACCTGATAACAACTTAGCTACAAACCTTTGTCGAACCCTAGCAACGGAATCGCCAATCAGGTATTATTGTATTAAGCATTAAACTTTTCGGTTCAATCTAAATTTCTAATATTTGATTTTTTTCCTTTTTAGGATGAATGCAGTGGAAATATCAAAAGATGATGATATTCAACCTCCTACACCTCCACCAAAGCCAAACGAGACAATGAAAAATAAACATGTAAAGCCAAATAACTCAAGTATTGATGCCAAACGTCCTATGAAACTAACATCAAATGTCTGGCCCCACTATGAATTTCTCAAGCGTGATGAAAAAGGTGAATTGTAAGTGTAAAAAGTGTGATAAGGTTTATAATGCTGAAAGTATAATGGGTACTAGAAATTTGAAACGCCATATAGAAAACTGCAAAAAAAATCGATTTAAGGATGTTAGCCAAATGATATTATATGGTGGTGGTAGTAGTGGTTCTTTGAATAATAGGGTTCCTGATTTTAACCTTTCTACATTTCGTGAATTATTAGCTATAGTTATTGTGATGCATGATTTGCCATTTCAATTTGTCGAATATGAGGGCATCAGACGATGTTTCACTTATTTAAATCATGAAGTGAATCTTGTTAAAAGGTATAGAATCAAATCTGATATCAAAAATATGTTTGGGACTGAAAAGTTAAAAATAAAATATTTGTTGAGTTATACCCCATGTAGAATATGTTTAACATCTGATTGCTGGACATCTATAACCACTGATGGTTATCTATCTTTAACAGCTCATTCCATTGATAGTTCTTAGTGCTTGCAAAAACTAATCCTTAATTTCAGTTGTTTGCCTCCACCACACACCGGTCTTGCTATATGTAACCATGTTTTTAGTCTTTTGAAGGATTGGGGAATTAAAAAAAAAGTGTTTTCAATTACTTTGGAGTTTGGATAATGCTTCTTCCAACGATGTTGTCACACCCCGATCCTTGTCGGAATCGATCAAGGCGTGATATATTGTTCAAAGTCTCATGACAACTATGTTATAATATGATTAGATTCAATTAAGTACTAAGTATGCAAACAATATCCACAACATACAAATACAAATCCAATACGAAAACATTTATTACATCAAATTTAAATAGTCTTGTGGATTTTAAGGCACAACTATTTTCATCAACTTCATTCTTCAAATCTGCATCACGGGTAAAAACAGGTCAACTACGAGAGTTGGTGAGTAATCTAATTTTAGTAGAGAAAATTGTGAAGTTGAAACATTTATAATTTGAAATTTGTTTTCTTTTGAAGTCGGCAAACAATTGTATTTGAGATAACGGTTTATAAATCAAAAATGATTAACAAATGATAACAAAAAATAAGTCCTCACCCTATATATATACATATATATACCTATGTCTATATATATCTATATATATATATATATATATATATATATTTTATTATATATATATATATAGGATGGAGCATCTAATCATCAAACACACTAACCACGTGCGATCACTCACTTTAGCGTCCCAAGGCGGGGTGGTCAACCCAATAGCGCTATTATTGTCCATAACGTACCTCAAGTACGGGCATAGTCATGGAGATTAGACTAAAAATGGTAATGCACTACAAGTACATGTAGCGTAAACAACACTATGTTATACACAATTAATGACTCACGTATAAATTCCCAACAATGTCTCCATTGTGATAAAACAATAACAATGAAGTTGGAACATATTAGAACCACATGATACACCCCAAAGTATTGAAAATTATAAAATATGGGGTAGATTACTCGCATTAGTCCAAAAACGACATGCGTGTGTCGTACGATAGACGGTTCGGGTCAAAATGGCGTAGAACCTAATATAATTAATAGTTTTGGTTTAGGAACTGTTAAACGATATGGAGTACTAATACAATATAATAGACACACATATTCTTATATTAGATGAATTAACAATAATTCATTTTGATTAGAATATTAAGGTATCATTTGTTAATGAATTTTAAATTGAATTAATTACTTTGCATAATTAATTTATATTTCAATTTAGGCCAGATTTTAATAATTTCTTATTAAATAATAACTTGCCCAATACAATTATTTACAGATTTAACAATTATTTATATGAAATATCATTAAATGCATTTTACATGCTTAAATACTTAGGAAAATGGTTTTAAATAGTAAACAGTATTGAAAATTATATGAAATTAGTAGGAAATAATTATTCATACAA